AAAATGGGAATAAACCTACCACAAGACCCAGCAACTCCACTCTGAGGTGTATATCCAAAAGATGCCCATTCATACAACAAGGATGTCTGTTCCACTATGTTCATAGCATTATTTGTAATAACCAGAACTTGGAAGCAACTTAGATGCCCCTCAACCGAAGAGTGGATAGAGAAAATGTGGTACATTTACACAATGGAGTACTACTATTCAGCAGAAAAAACAATGGAGTCCTGAAATTTGCAGGCAAATGGATGGCACTAGAAGAAACCATCCTGAGTGAGGTAACCCAGTCACAAAAAGAGAAACATGGCATGTACTCTCTCATATATGGATTTTAGACATGGATCTGGGGAGTGCCGGCCTACAATCCCATGGCCAGAAAGTCTGGGAAACAGAACCTTCATTCAGTTGCTGATGGAAGAAGAGGTAGACTCCCACCACTAAGCACTGAGCAGAAGTCAATAATTCCAGTGACAGAGATGGAGGACTGATGACCAAAGGGGTTAAGACTGGGCTGGTTTAACCCCCAGAAACAGCTCATCTAACAAGGGTTAGCTCTTGAATCCCAGACTGATGCCTGGGAATCCAGCATGGGACTGATCAAGACCCCCTAAGTGGGGATGTCAGTGAGGAGGCCTAGGTAATCTATTGAGCCTTGGGTAGTAGATCAGTATTTATCCCGGGTATACAAATGGACTTTGGGCTCCCATCCAACAATGAGAGATGCACTCTCACCCTGGACTCTTGGGTGAGGGTCTAGACCTTGCCCTGGATAAAATGACAGACTATGTACACCCCCATGGAGGGCCTCACCCTCCCTGGGGAAATGAGGGGATATTGGGGGTTTGGTGGGAGGGCTTGGGAGGAGGGGAGAGGAAGGGATAGTGACCTGGAATTGACATGTGAAGCAACCTTGTTTCTAATTTAAATTTAAATTTTATAAAATATATAAAAAATAGAAAAAACATTAGAGGAATTTTAAATTTTAAAATATAATTGGAGTTTAAATGAAAACTTTTAGTATATAATAAGCATATGCTGCTGCTGTGATTTATGAAAAATGCCCTTACTTCTGATCTTTTTCCCCAATGATATTAACAAAGAAACATTTATATAGGATCATTACCCAGTCATCATTAGTCACTTTATCATTCTATTTTTAATTCTGACTCTCATAAGTCTCACTTGTAAACATGTCTTTAAGCATTTTACTCAATTAATGACAAAAAATATCATGCTAACTGACAGCTCAAAGGAAGTTCCAAATAGTGATAACCTAAATTAGACTTTATTCAAAAGCCAAGTGTTTCTACTAGTCCAATAAGACACTCTTCTGCTATCTGAAGATTGTGAACATTTTAACTAAGTGAATGTTTCATTCTGTACATCTTGTTCTGATTATTGAGTATTACAGCAATAAATTATTTCCCTTCTGCTCTTAGCCACCTTGTTATCAATTAGATCATGCTAATACAACAAACGCAAAAATAACTCCAATTACATATGAATTACAGTAAGTGTAATAACTAAGACATAAAATGTAGAGATTCAGGCTGGGTATGGAAGCACTCACCTCTAATCTCAACATTTTGGAAGCAGAGGCAGGTACGCTATGTGAGTTTGAGGCCTGATTCTTCTACAAAGGAAGGTCTGAGCTAGCCTGTTTTACATAGATATTTGAGGCATGTATATGCAGCATGTATGTGGAGAGAAAGAACGTGTGTGAAAGAGAGAGATTAAGAGAGAGAGAGAAAGATACACACAGAGAGAGATAGTACATCTAACTTTATTACTTAGAATACTTGCAATAAAGCATTAGGTCTCAGCCCCAGGTACATATTAGTACCACCTTAAGAGTTTGAAGAAAACTTCGTGACAAGACTTCACCCAAATAAATCAGGATGTCTCATGATCAAATCTCCCGAGATGAGCCTGCAATATAGCCATGTTTGAAAACCATGTTATGAAAGACCAGGAGAGACATAAAAGAATAGGCATGCTTTGGTTCAAAGGAACAGAAAATGGTACTTGGAAGAATCTTCTCCATAATATAATTAATTTATTTTTACTCGCCAAACCTTAGGTCATTTATCACATCCTCTGAAGAGCATTTTTGGATTTCCCCAATGATATCTATGAGAATCCTGATATCAGTAATGCAAGTTATCACTATTTTATAGACTTTCCTATATTCCAGATGCCATAACAAGCACCTTAATTATATTTCAATATTATCCTTTGCAAAACACCAGGAACCAAATAACAGCATTATTTTTTAATTTAACATTCAGTTAAAGTAAATATACAACTAAATCTGGTGCAGTTGGAAGTACAACTGCCAAACCCATGTTCTGAAACATGACCGACTGATCCTATGCAGCTCAAGTGTACTTCAGTCATACCGTGAAGCATACTACATTGTAATACATTTGTAATTTTCATTCACTATTCATTTGCTCAACCCATTGGCAGGTGTTGAGTTTATTCTCAACGTACTCGGGGCTAGAAATATGAACTCTGGGAATCAGTAGCAGAGAGCTCACATCAACAATAAGTTGACTGGCTAAATCCGGCTAGTCACTTCTTTTTATAAATCAGATTTTTGTTGACCCACAACTATGGTCATTGGTTGACTGCTTTGTAACCTTGAATTTACTTTTATGTTACAAGATTACAGTAGAGTAACTATGGCAAAGTCTTAAAATACGATGGTCTGATCTATTCCACTATGTTCATAGCAGCATTATTTGTAATAGCCAGAACCTGGAAGCAACCTAGATGCCCCTCAACTGAAGAATGGATAGAGAAAATGTGGTATATTTACACAATGCAGTACTACTCAGCAGAAAAAAAAATGGAATCTTGAAATTCGCAGGCAAATGCATGGAACTAGAAGAAATCATCCTGAGTGGGGTAACCCAATCACAAAAAGACAAACATGGTATGCACTTACTCATATATGGATTTAAGATATAGAGCAAAGGTTTACCAGCCTACAATCTACTCCTTCAGAGAAACAAGAAAACAAGGAGGACCCTAAGAGAATCATACATGGTCCCTAGAAGGGGAAAGGGACAAGATCTCCTGAGCAAATGGGAGCATGGGGGAAGGGACGAGGGAGTTAGGAGAAAGAGAAGGGGAGAAAAGGAGGGGAGAGGAGGACATAAGGGAAACAGGGGAAGAATAGAGAAGATCAAGAAAGAAGATACCATAATAGAGGAAGCTATTATAGGTTTAAAGAGAAATCTGGCACTAGGGAAATGTTCACAGATCTAAAGGATGACCCCAACTAGGAACCTAAGCAATAATAAAGAGGATACCTTAAATGCCTTTCCCCTATAATGGGAATTATTACTACCTTAAATGCCATCCTAGAGCCTTCATCCAGTAGTTGATGGAAGCAGAAGCAGACAACCACAGCTTAACACTGAGCCTTACTCCTGGAATCCAGGGAGGAGTTATGAGCAAAGGGGTCAAGACCAGGATGACCTGAATAAGGGGGAGCTCGTAGACCCCAAACTGATAGCTGGGAAACCAGCATAGTACCAACCCAGATGCCTTGATTGTGGCTGTCAGTTAAGAGGCCTGGGTAATCTATGGGGCCTCTGGTAGTAGATCAGTATTTATCCCTATTATACGAATGGACTTTGGTAGCCCATTCTGCATAGAGGGATACTCTTTCAGCATAGACACATGGTGGAGGGCCTAGGCCCTGCTCCAAATGATATGAAGATCCCCCATGGAAGGACTCACCCTCCCTGGGGAGCAGAAAGGAGTTGGGATAAGGGGCTATTGGGGGGGCAGGGGAGGAGAGGAAAGAGAGGGAACTGGGGTTGACCTGTAAAACAAGCTTGTTTCTATTTCAAATAAAAAATCACAAAAAATATGACAGTCTGGTCATTTATACAAAGTTTGACAGCCCATAGTCTGGAACACAAGGCAAGTGAGTCACCAGGGACTACCCAATGATATGCGTGATGTGGTATTCACACATAGGAACATAAAAAATGGTATATATAAGGGTAGAATATAGGACAACCAATTCCTACAAGGCACGGTGTTGGAAAGCTTGGAAGTGTTACCTAGATAAAAAGGAGCAACCAGATCAGGAAGATCATGTAGGCAGTGAGACAGGAATTAAAGTAACTGTTAAAAAATAAAGTAGGTAGGTTTAAATTAAATTTATGAGCATGTAGTTTTGATTTCTTTATCATTTTTATCATTTTATTGGAGAGGGATAGATTGGTAGGGCCTTGGCACATGGTCCAAGTTGTCCTTGAGGTCTTCCTGTCTCAAAGGGCTGGGATCATAGATATACACATCCAGGCTCAGTTAACAGATTTATGGACTCTTGTTGAAATATCTAGCGATGTACGTGGCATAATGCACTCATGGGAATCAAAAGTTCTGGTGTGTTATTGTACAGTAAGATGACTAAGATTAACTATGTTCTGTACATTTCAAAAGCTAGGTTTTTGTTTTATTTTGTTTTTTTTTACAGTTTTTACCATAAGGAAAAACAAAATAATTGAGACTACAGAGATCGTTAGTTTGATTTAAATATTATGCATTTATGTTGTTATGTATCAATTAAAAATAATCTAACTATGAATACACAATAAACACTTGTAAATAGTCAGTTATTTGCTAACTTATGTGACTAGTTCCTATGTAAATGACAAATAAATATTGCATAACAGGCATCAGTTCTTGAACTGATTGACCTGTAAAAATTCCATCTTCTTCTACTCACACTGTGGCTACACAGCCGATCCCAGGCAGCTAGCACCATTGCAGACTTCCAGTCCCAGCATTCAGTGGCTCAGGTAGGACAATCTTAAATTCAAGGTCTGTCTGGAATACTGAATGAGAATCTGCCTCAAAGCCACAGCAGCAGCAGGAACAACAAAAATGATGAAGACTGCTATGTTTCATTGTTTTCAATTGTTTCAATTACATATAACTACTCATAGTATGTGAAGTGGTTGCATTGACTGTACCTGGAAAATTCATGGGCAGTTCAAAGGGCTTCTGAGACTCAGACTCTCCAGAATTCTCCTCACAAATTTCAGCCATGATCTTCTTAATTTTGAGACCCGTGATTTTAATCACTTCCCCTGTTGACAAACAGCATTCATTGCCGAACATTTCATAAATAGACCCTGAAAAGAAAGAAAATAATCTTTAAAAAAGGTTAAACAGTAAAGAACAAAATTGATGTCAAGAGCATCATGTAAAATATTTTCAGTCAATTCCTTCCTTAGCCACCTAATAAACTGGAGTTGAATCTGACTATCCCAAAATGTACACCATGCACCAGGAAACATATTGGATTTCTACTTTATCCAATGGACAAAGTATAAACAATTTTATTTTTTATGATTTTAATTTTATGATTTATGGTTTGCTCATCACTGTTAGATCATTTATCCAAGGTCAAACCACAGTGAGATCTTCTGCTGTTGGGATTTATGATGCATTTATGCCAGGTCACAGAGAGTTAGGCCTGTATGAGTCAACAGCAATTTAAGTACTACAAACAGGACTATAATACAATCCAAGACTCAAAGACAGAAAGGCCTATGTACTAGAGCTTCATATAAACAGCTCCCTATTTATTTTTCAGATCTGGTTCTCTTCATCATTGTAAATTTAAGTCTTCTTGTCCATTTTTATCTGTTGTTTTATCACAAGCTGGAGACAGCGCTCGATACCTTTGTGGCAATAGGTGGCAGACCAGCCCAGCAAAACAGAACAGCTTCACTTTGGTTCACTATTTCAGCCTCCTTCTCGACAAACCTTTCATCATAGACACTAATGTTAAGGTATTCATTCATCTATTTTCATTCTGTGTCTCTTGATAGAAAGAGAGTAGGCAATGAAACAATCAAACTATGAACATCAGGAAAGACAAGAGGCCACAGTTCTGAACCGTCAGCCCTAGTAAAAAGAGAGCAACTGAAAGCAGCTTCTCTGGAAGACAATTCCATCACAGATGAACAGAAACTTATCACTGGTCTAAGGAGCATTAGATAACTGCAAGCATTTAAGCACAATAGCAATTTGTCCCTCCCTCCACGGTGGCTCCAAGTTTCTGGCTATGAGGACAAAATGCTAGCTCTGTCTGCTTTCTGAACTTTTTCATTTTAAAAAGTAAATTTTCTATTTCCATTTTTTCTTTAGTGCCCTCATAGACTCTGGTGTCATATATATAATATATGTTATATGTAATAATCCTCTTATGGCATTCACAGTTTTCATAACAGTTCATAAAGCTGGGATTTCACCCAGTTATTACAAAAAGGACCTGAGGCTGAAAGAAACTGAGGTGTAAAATAAATAATTTTTTAAAAACCCATGCAACATTTTCTGCCAGTGAACTTAGAAGAACTATATGCTATGATAAATCACAGATTAACATTTTATACCATTACCATTATATCATCCTGCATTTAAACTTTTGTTAAGTTTGGTGTTTATTACTCCCAATTCAAGTTTAAGGTTCATTAGAAAACTAATAATTGAATTACATTTTTTGCATGATTGCAACACATCCAGGCCCCTTTTTCCACTCAGTCAAAAAACTGAATGTGTTAGGCCTTGTGAATGGCAGTAGGCATCAGGGATAAGATGCAAGGTCTTTTCCCTCAGACGCACAGTCTGCAAAGAGAGGGCAGGTAGGTGAACCATTGCAAAAGACCAGGGAGAAGCCATAATGTAGGAAATACAGTGCTATGCAGTCTCAGGCATTTCGTTTCCAGGGGGGAAAGAAATCAGGAATGAATACTGGAGGAGACAACAGCCTGGGTGGGCTTTCTTTTTTTTAATTTTTTTTTAGATTTAGAAACAGTCTTATTTTCATATCAATGCCCCCCCTGTTCCCTCTCCCTCCCATCCTCTCATACTCTCCATGGACCTCCCAACCCATCTCCCACCCTGTCTGCAAGGATAGTGAGGCATTCCATGCGGATCACCAAAGTCTGTCACATCATTTGGGGGAGGGCCTAGGTCCTCTTCAGTGTGTCTAGGCTGCAATAGTAACTCTCCATAGGAAATAAGCTCTCAAAGTCCATTTGTGCACTAGGGATAAACACTAGTTCCACTGTTAGAGGTCCTGTAGACTGCCCAGGCCTCCTAACTGGCACCCACATTCAGAGGGCTTGTTTCCGTCCAATACTGGGGTCTGTGTGCTCTCACTAGGTCAGCTCACCTGTTTCTGTCGTTTTCTCCAGCACAGTCTTGACTGCTTTGCTCATCCCCCCTCCCTCTAAAAAGGAAGGGTCACATGATGCCAAAATGGGCAGAAGCCAATAAGTAAGATATGGAAAAAATTGACACATTGTGGAAACTGATTTTTTGTGTCTAAATTGTAAAGTAAGAGAGGTGAAGTGTTTAGTTCAGTTTTAAGAAGGAATATGTGGAGAAACTCAAAATTTTACAATTTTTTATTAAATGTACAATGCACAAAACAACAGTCGGAAGTAACTTTGAAGTCAGGCAATCTACATATCCGGTTATCAGAGTCCAGGAACAAATACCAATTTAATAAGAGGTCATTTGTACTCTAGACATTAACTACCCAAACTGTGGTCCAGTGTGTCACCTGGGAGCTTGTTAGAATCCTGGCCAGAGTTGCTGAATCAGAACCCGCATTTTTAACAAGCTCCCCAGATGATTAATAAGTACATTAAAGTTTGTAAAGCCTCGGTCTGCACTGCAAGTACACTATTGAAATAACCCTGCTTTGATATCGCTGCAAAACCATTCAGAGGAAAATGTGCCACCCTCACACAGAAAACCTTGGATGTCACTGAGGTGGGGAATAGGAAAAGGGTTTGAGATACATAAGTGTTAAGGAAGGATTTTCCTTCATTGTGGGAAATAGGACATAATTTAACTGAACATCTTTTAGCTGAAAGTGTTGAACTTAATGTCTGTAAATGAATATCCATTCTTCAATATGATTTATAGCCAACTGACTGGCGGGGAATGCCATCTTCTTTTACAGGTTCAAAAGGATCCAAAATTCAAAAGATAAATTTGTACATAAGATTATATATCAGTTTGTAAGCCAGAGAATTCTATGACAATAAAATTATGTGTTCTAGGCAACACATTCAAAGTTTCTAGTCTTTTCCCAAGTATCTATATCTCTCCTTAAAAATTAAAAAGAAAATCACTTCATTATTATTAGGATGAGAACATCATGCAAATGCTAACAAAACAATTCTCTTTTAAAATGTGACGACCATTTTGTTTCTAACCAGGAAAGTCCGTCTCTGTCTCTCTGTCTCCTCAAATGTCTTCTGCAGTTCAGGCTGGTCTTCAACTCATGATGCAGCCCAAGAAGTCCATAGACTTCTGATTTTCCTGCTTCCAGGTTCCCAGGCGCTGGGATTGCATCTTGTGCTGCCACATGCAGTTGACACGATGATGGAGAGCCAACCCCAGGGCTTTGTTCACATGAGACAAACACTCTACCAGCTAAACCACATCCTCACCACTTCTGTACTTGAAAGACTGCTCAGGGGCCCCCAAAATGAAGACGTTGTGTCAGTGTTAGGTAGCAAGGGCATGTAGCTACTTGTAGATCCCTGAAACAGGCAAGGTTCCCATACTTCGTTCTTACCAGTATAATACCTCCTAAAATACACTTTCCCCTGAGTTTTAATATAATGATGGATTTTAAAAATAGGCAGCTTCCACAGTCTCAGAATAAACACTTACGTGTGATTGCTTTTTAAAGTTTTACTAAGATGTGTGTCTGAAGCATGCTTGCTTATGTATAGATATACATATATATTCAAGTGGGTTTCATTCCATTTTAACCAGGAGACATGTATTTTGAATATGCACGTCTCAAATCTATTAAATCTTTACAGCCTGATTCTTTCCAAGTCAGAGCATATGTATTCAGGGTAATGGCAAACATCAGAGCAGGCTGGAACAAAGCAGCCTGTTTTCAGTGATCAAACATTGCCCCTGAAGGCTGTAATGAAAGAACCATGTGCCTTTGAAATCACCTTTTCTGTAATGTTACTTTGCTCGATAAAAACGACACATTAATATCCTTTCATGAGCTCATCCCTTGCTTGACACTCTATATAAGCAATGCTGTGATCACGTAGGAACAGCCGAAACAATTGGTTCAATAGGCATTTCCACCCAGCCCATTTCACTTCAAAGTTAAAAATGTGTGGCAGTCAGGAAAGAGGAGGCTCCATTATTTGGAGGTCTTCTTCCCTGTGTTCAAACACACCATGGCCCAAACTAAGCCATGCACTTCATTGCTTTACCTCCTCATGGACCGTCTAAGCTCAGCCAACTATAAGGATTCAGCTAACACTCATCCTCAAATCGTCCTTATAGCCAACCTAAAGAAATGTTCATTCCCTCTTGTTCTCTGGTAACACTTTGTATACACTCCCTCACAGACACTTGGGATTATCATCATAGCTAGAATTGGGACAATGTTTTTTATTATTGACATCATGTAGATTTGGGGATTGATTCTGATTTCCTAGAGAAGATACAACAAGCTAGCTAAATGTACAAAGCGTCCTCTCCCCATCCCACCCCATAGAGCTACTATACAGTTTTTGTCCATACTAGATCCCGAGTGAATGTTTTCAATACTAGCCTTTACTGTAAATGATAATAAATCAGTAGGACTGTAACTGTCTTTCTACAGCATGTCCTACTCAAGGGTTGGTGTGAGGTGTGTGTTTTCTGTTTGTGTGTTTTCTATCAAAGTGACAAGTGCATGTCAGATTATCTAGCTGCCCTCAGATTACTCTAAAGAGTATAAGGTGCAGGTGATTCTTTGATGTGATTTCTACTTTTATTTTTCCACGTTAGATACCAAAGAGAGACCACACGGCCTTATGCATGTTGGATAATGCTGTGGGGTATTTGTATACTGCTTGAAAATATATTGCTGTGATTGATTTAATCAAGAGCTGAACATCCAATATCTAGGCAGGAGGTATGGGCAGGACTTCTGGGCAGAGAGAAATGAAGTAGGAAAAGAATCTAGATATGGGAGAGATGCCAAAACACACAGAAGCAGGATGGGCAGTATGTGACAGGACATAGATCAATAGAAATGGGTTAGTTTAAGTTATAAGAGCTGGTTAAAATCAAGCCTAAGCTAAGTTTAAGT